ATCTGGAAGCGTTCTTGAGCAACTTCTCCATTTGCGGAAAACACAAATAGGAAAACACACTATCAAATGTGTCCAGTGATCGATTCCCGTTGAAACCTGCAGGGGAACATACACAAAATACTCGTAAGCAAATGAAAGCAACAGGTTCAAATTGGAAGCGTGTTGAAGTCGTACCATTGGGACTCTCCAGCCTGGCATTGGGGTTTGCTTGGGGTCTTGTGGCAAAGCTAATGCTCAAATGACCGCCCAGTTGTACCTTTAACCAAAGGGGGTTTCTCTTCCAAGGCTTCCCCATTAAAGCTTCACAGCTTTAATTTTGAGTAGGACTTCTATTGGCTCCAACCAAAAGCAAGGCTAGGAAATGATCTCAACTCATGCCCCCTCAAAGTTCCCAGAAACGGAACTCAAGGCCCAGAATGCCTGTGGCCCGCTTCATGACCCACAAGAAACTCAACTTAACCCCGCCGGGCCCGGGAGGCGAGGACCAGGTTAGGTGAGTCACCATGTAAAGTAAGCTGAGCTTACCGGAGAGGAACGTGTGGCAGTTCCAGCTTGCAGCACGCTTGCGTTGCCGGGGGCCGCGCATTTTTTTATTTGACTCGCTCATGGTCTGGGGCATTGCGTCAACGTTTTGCCACGAAAACGCCACATGGAGACGATGCAGAAAACCGCCGCTAGGTGGCAGTAATTGGACCAGCGCATTCAACGAGATCTGCGCTGGCGACTCATGCAAGCACTGCCCCATCTCCATGAGAGATTCGCCGACGAACATAGGAGTTGATGTCTCCTCTGGCGAATTATATGCGAGAGCGAGGGAAAAAACGCCCGCTTGGCATATTGGTGACTGGCATTTCAAAGGGCCGTGAGACTGTTTTTGCTGAGAGACTCATGGCGTCCAACACCGGCACTCGAGTCATGCCTGACTGATACCTGACTCAAGACCGTGCACAGTGCTTTCAGGACAGAACGAGGGCGCACACAAAAAAACAGCTTCCTGCGAAACCTCCTTTCGACGAATTCGCATCAAAATGCCGTTGCTCGGTGCTTTGCCCAGAGCCCTGAAGAGAGCGGCAGCGCAAGTTGCAACTCAAAAGCCTCAGCGTGCGAAAGAATTTGTGATCCCCACGAAGCCACATGAGCAGGGCTCACTAGATTTCCCGTTCAACGGTTGCAATTTACTGGTGGTTTCCGTTGAAACAGCCACTGTTGGATGAAATAGGCCACAAAAACAACATGTGAGTATCCAAACATATAGACTGGCACACCTGAGGGCCAATACCAAAAGCATGTTCGAGAGCTGTGTCCAAAGGTGGATATGAGCCACGGACCGTATTACTCACTGGTTCAATTGGGTGGGCCCCGGCGTGAGGAAATAGGGGCTATTAGGCAGGTCCCCCCCATGTCCTCTCCAAATGAACAACAAACTACCAGTACTTGCGTCAGTTGCTCATAGGTAAAACATCGTGAGAACATTACGTGAGCCATAGACATGTTCCACTGCCTTTCGGTGGACCTTGTTTTTAAAGGAAAACCATATCGAAACTAGGCCTGGCATGAAATTCGAACGGTATTTTTCAGAAACGCAAGACGTCTCAGAAGCAAACTACAATTCACGAACTGGTTGATTAATAGTGGGTGCCCCCACTAAAGTCGGGACACAAAAAAGGACTCTTAGAGCCACCAACCCCCTCAGAACATAGGACTTGCTTGTCCATCCGGGGTGAAAGGACTAGCAGTCACATGTGTTTGGGTTGCTCAAAGGTTCGGGCGCAGGTGTCCTCACGCTTCTTTCAAGAGACTTGTGCATTGAGTTGTGACCCAGAAAGGACCCGGGATGCAAATGACTGGAGTCGGAGGGAACCATGCCCACTTGCAAGGCAAAAAAGTTCAAAACCCGATGTAGCCCCCGATTCACAGGTACAGCCAAGGAGTTGAGTCACCCTGAGCAAAAACAACAACGCAGACTTACCAGATTTTGGGTTAAGGGCAGGCGCACGAAGGGTGGCAACAAATCATTGCTACACTGACATCATCAAACAAATATTGCTTAACCTCATCATTAGATCATCGGTGGGAGCAAGCCTGGCTCAAATACCCGGTATATCAGAGGCTGGTGATGCTGTGTTACTGCTGCATCCTGTGTTTATATATATATATGTGTGTTTCTGAAAGGAATCAAAAGTCACGTTAGGCTTGGCCCGCGGTCGACACCCCCAGCATCACCAAGATAAAGTGGGCGTCACGGTGCGTACTATGCAAATCAAGTGGTTGACACACCAGCATCGCTCGTGTCTTAGTGCAAGCATCGTCTAAAAATGGAGCCTGAAAAACATGGGAAGTTTATCAAGATCTTTGGCAGTCTGGCTCCAAAATGAAACTCTTTCGTCGGCAACATCCGTACCCCAGCAACAACCAATTTAAATACGTACAATCTACATATATATATATATACACCTATTTATTTATATATATATACACATATAAATAACAATATATATATATATGGTACCCGCCCCCAAAACCAAGGTTTTGTCTGAAAACACTGGTAATTGCGGTGTTGTCTGACAAAAACCTGCATCTGCCAGAACACGCATTTTTCAAGCGATTTTCCGCAACTGCAAAAGCCTCTCATCTGCCAAACCCAGCCCATACTGCAACCAAGCACTATGCTTGCATAAGGGCATCTCTTCAAGGAAGCTCTTTGGAAACTAAACAAACTGAAAAAAACTGAAAAACTAAAAAACCAAGGATTTGGAGGGACATGGCGGGGGGGGGGGGCAGCCCTCATGTCCCTCAGAATCCTTGTTTTATTGTTTTCTAGTTTTTCATTTTTTCCAGGTTGCCTTGGCATCTGAGCAGAACCGAGTCCATATTTGAAGCTGTCTGGCTCCAGCGCTTCCTTACTCCTCTTCTGCCCTTTGTTCTGACCCTGTCCTGGCATGGCCAAGCAGCCTGAGGATATGACCTTTGATGACCTCAACAACGCATGCGACGCTTTCGTATTTTATGAGTATTTTTCTGGTATTGCCCTGGTGACTTGTCAGACAAATTGAGCCTCGTATTTCCTCAGCATTCTCCTAGCATTCTCCTAGTATGCTCCTTTAGTATTCCCCCAGTCTTCCTTGAGTATTTCCCTAGTATTGCCCTAGTATTCCTTTAGAATTCTCTTGGTATGCCCCGAGTATTTCCTAGTAAGGGAAGGGACATACTAGGGGAATACCTTCAGTATTGCCCTAGTATTCCTTAAATATTCTCTTGGTATACCCCTAGTATTCTCTCAGAATTCCCCTAGTATTCTCCCTGTGTTCACCTTTAATATTGCCCTAGTACTTCCCTTGTAGTGCCCTAGTATTGCCCCAGTCAGGAAGCCTGAGAGAAGTCAGACAGATTGAGCTTGAGAGTATACCTCTAGTATTCCCTCAGTATTCCCGCGTATTATCCTAGTATTCACCTTTAATATTGCCCTAGTATTCCCTGAGTATGTACCTAGTATTGCCCTAGTATTCCCCTAGTATTGCGCTAGTATTCCTTTAGTATTCTCTTGGTATACCCCTAGCTAGTCTTCCCTAGATATTTCACTAGTAAAGGAAGGGGAATATTCGAGAATACCTTCAGTATTATCTAACTAACTAGGCAGCTAAATAGATAACTAACTGATTAGCCAATTAACTAGCTAACTGGCTTGAGTGCCCATTCATTACAACTACTTAACTGACTAATTAGCTGACTAACTAATTGAACTTGCCTTGAACTTGAAAAATATGCATTTCGCAGAGGCGAAAATACACATGGTTCTCAAAAGCAGCATTTTGCCCAGTGATTTTGGCAATTGTCCAGGTTCAAACCCTGGGTTTTGGGGGGTGCATACATATATATATATATATATATATATATATGCCATCTAAAACGTGTTCAGATTGGGGGTCGGCGGCACAGGGTCGCAGCGCTGGCTTCCCACCCCCGAGCTGAGTGGACTCGCCCAGTTCGACGTCTTCATGACACGGTCTTCCCTGCAAGTAAGTCCATGAACTCAGGCAGCAAGTAGCCTATTCAGAAACATGGAATCTGACGGGGTGCCCTGGAACACAATATGTTCCTCTAACAGTTCCATGCTAGTGGACAGCAGAGAAGGGTCCAAAGAATCTTCACCACTGCCCTCCAAGCAGTCCGACTCTGTGCCCAAAGTGGGGCTCATGGTCCCTGTGAGTAACAATCTGGCATACCCAAGCAGTATTGGGCATTTGGAGATGTCAACCAGGACATCAGTGGGCCGATGAGGTTCCATGCGCTAACTGATAGTTGCTTAAAGGAGGGAGCCCCTGTCATGGTTGCTTTGTCAAACCTCCAACTCTGGCTGGGCAAAATGGCAAAAGAGGTTGGGCAAGACATCCACCTGCCAGTTTGATGTTGCAGTCCAAGACTTCCTGCACCCGGCTCCTTTGACTAACTGCTTGCCACTTGGGTTGTAGCACTTTGAACTTGTTGGACCAATTGAGTTAGCTAATGGCTCTAGGGGTAGCACGAGTGCGGGCGAGCTCTTTGAGCCCAAGCGAAATGAGCTGGAGGTCAAGCGACAAGTTGGCACCGAATAAACCCAACTCCAATGGTTTCGAAGAAGGAGTACCTGGAGTGGCCGTGGGGGGTCCTTTTGGATTTGGGCGGTTTCACCACTTGGGAGATTTTGTGGGTTCAGCTTCCCTCTTAAGGGCGGTGTCCCATTTACCCTCTAGATCCAGGGGTTCAACTCCCAAATCCATTTCGGATGGGTGACAACTCCATTTGCTTAACAACTTCAGTCCCCTACAAAAGACTCCAGAATGTTTCTAGTGATAGATTCCCCTTTCAACCGAAGCCTCCATTTGCTTAAGCCCTGGAAAAAGTCCAGTGATAGAGTCCCTTTTGAGAACCAACAAGGCAAAGCCCATCCGCAGATGGAAGGTGAAGCCAGGGCACTGCTTTGCGAAGCCGAAGGATTCAGGCACTTGGGCTTTCGCATCTCCTCACAGCCCTTGGTTGACGGCCAGGTCTTTCCATGGGGAAGTGGGGAAGTGGGGAAGTGGGGACGTGGAATCCAATTCCATTTTCTGAGTTTCAGATTCTGCTGATTTCACGCTGAATCCCCGAAATATCACCTAAGTTTGGAGGAGACCCCGGCACACTCCCCGGAACCCTTTGGCAGAATGCTCCATAATTAAGCCTCCTCCGGCTGCTGCAGTTCACCCAAATATCACCCAAACTCCTTGAATTGCATCCCGGCTTTCGGGTATCCGAGCTCACCCAAACAGCCGCAGCCCTCCGGAGAAACGCGCGGAACAGTCGAATTGTCGGTCCCCAATCTGCCCCGAAATCTTGTCCTGCGGGGAAAAACATCAGCCCAGGTGTTTCCCCAGCACAAAATCTGGAAGCTCTGGAGCCTTGGGCTGACGTTGAGCTGCTCTTCAAACCAAGTTCCCAGTCCTTCCCATGGTAAGGTTCCACATGGGTCGTTCCCGTTGCATCTCTCCAAGTGATTGGTGAATCGTGTTGGAATGTAGAAAGTGAACCAAAAAGGCGCCAAACGCCCCCTCCCATTTACAGAACAACCCGGGTGACCTGAAAAGTCTGCGCTTGCCTCCCTAGCATCACTCAAGGTTCGGGGAGAGGCATGATACGGGGTCTTAAATTTAGGGAACCCGAATTGTGCTGGTTGCTCCTGTTGGCTTCCCCTTAAAACCGACCAAAAAGGAGCTTCCGGGAAAGAAAACACGCACCACCATCGTGGAGTCCCAGTGACAGGAGCCCCGTCTCGCCCAAGCTGCACCGCTTGATCCCCGGCCAAGGCGCTCGTTGGAAGGGTTTTCCCAGTGAAAACATCGTGGCAAGAACAACACCCCGCCTTCGCTTGAAGGCTTCCTTAAGATGCGAAGCAAAACGTGGAATCTCACAGCTCTCCGAAGTCGGGAGGCGACAGGGTTCTAGTCAGAAATTCTGGGAGGCATTTCTCAAAACATGAAATGTATTTCCGATGTTGCACCCTGTCTTTGGGGTGGTCATTTTTCGGGAAGCCAAAAGCAAAACCAACCATTTGCTTCTTGCGGGGAGGGTGTGTGCATATAGTTTGATACATACCCCCAGGTTGAGCTTGTCGTGTGTTGAGGCTCGATACCCCAACATGGGTCGTCAGTTTGACACTGAGTGGATTGGTCTCGGTTGAAAGGTGGGTGTTAATGGGACATCATGTTGTTGGTTGGGAGAGGAGTTCCCGTAAAGCAGACAGACACACCCACCGATAAATATGGGCAGAGAAGCGCCAAACACGTCGATGGATCAATCCCAGCCCTCACCCTGCCATAATCAGTGCGAAGCTCCGGCCTTTCCCATGTAAGGATTCCTCAGCCCGGTCGATTGCTCCCTTCGAACTGGTTCCAAACAGGCTTTGGGGGGTGTGAGTGGTTTTGGAGAACCCCCCCCTTTTGGAGTGGTTTTAAAGGGAACACAAAAGGAGAACCACCGGTTTGGGGGGTCCAGACACACCTGTTTGCTTTTCTGTGAACGTGGGCCACGACCAATTTGTTCAACACAGAAAGTGGCCCTGAACCTCAACTTTCAACGCCGGTTTAACATGCCTTCGTTGCTGAATGAAGCGTTTGTGGGCAATACGGAAAATCCGAGCTGTTTCAACCAAAAAGTGAAAGTCCAAAGATCCAACTTCACAACCCTTGCTATGGCAAAAAGCTTTGTTTTTTGCAGCCCCCCCCCCCCACCCTAAGAATCAAACAAACAAAAAACCGTTAAAAAAAACTGACCCAACACCAGTCAAGCCAAATGGCCATAAAGATGTTGACCTTTTTTTCAGAGCTGGGCCCCTACCAGTTGGCTTTAATTACGTTGCTCAAGCCGGGGGCGTTCGAAGCGAGCAACCAAAAAGTGGCGCACTCGTGGACAGACAGATCCCAAGCTACATGATGTCCACCAAGGGGTCGTTGGAAGTGGGGGCGGGTCCCAAGGGGTGTGCCGTCTGGGCTGACCTATTTTCCCCAGCAAGTCGAAAAAAACTGGTTCTGCCACCTTTTACTGTGTAATAGAGCACATCGGAGGTGTCCGGCCACGAAGGCACTACATGAGGTTGACTTCCCACCCAAAGCCTGACGAGTATCCCCGCAACCTCACCACAACCCGCCCCAAAGCGCCAATGGGAGCGATTTGATCCTAGATGTTGCTCATGGGAATACTCGTCTCAACTTGTCAATTTGGCCCTAGTCTGGGGCCCTGGGGTATACTAAACATTTCGCGTTCAGATTCTGGCCCATATTGAGCCTACCTTTAACAACATGTTTCCTGATGAGACAGAAGCTGCATGCAATCCACGATTGTGGCGATTGAGCCAACTCTAAGAGTCCTGACCCAATGCAAGCCCCGGCCCTTGCAATGGAGACTGACCTAAGGGTCATTGAAAAAACTACGATTTCGAGGACAGTCGGGACCCTACGGAACTGCATATATATATATATATATACATGTATATATATATATATAAGATGTAAGTACATGTACAAAGCGTCTATTTATATTATACATACATTCATAAGATATATAGGGATAGAGAAGGAGAGAGAGAGAGAGAGAGAGAGAGAGGGAGAAAGACCTGATGTGCTGCCATGCGTCAAGTCAACATAGGCGGGATCCTCCCACTTGCCACTGGAGGCGGGGACTGCGTAGCCAGCCCTCAGACCGGATTTGCAAAGAGAGGTTCGCCTCCCAACCGGAGTCACTTGGGCGACCACTCCGTTTGGTGCGCGTTATATTGTGTATGAGCCATGGGCAAAACCAACTCCGCATGTGGCGTATGGTCATGTGTTTTGTTTTCTTTTCTGTTTTGCTATAGGAATTAAGGATCCTTGCTACCAGGTGGATGAACAGTTCTGTTAACCCCAAGTCAAGGCGTCGTTTGACCTTGGCACATATGGGCATGAATAAATCAATGGGTCTCGGGCCCTTTGGTAGACATAAGTTAAAAGAGTCAACCAACGACCAAAGTTCAAGTGAGTTTAGGCTGAATTCTACTTCGGGGACGTACGAGTCAAGGGTGGTCATCCAAGTGTTTGCAATGGGATTCTCCCCCAACCCACCCTCAAGATGGGCCTGCGCAGGCCTATTTGCAAAATAATGTCGTAGTCATCTAGAAGGAGCGTTCCGTGTTCCGTGTTGGTGCGAGGGAACCCCTCCTAAAACAAGAAAGCTCCGCCCAAGTGGCCGGTTCTACCCTTTCAAACAGCGCCTTGCAAGTGAAATTGGAAACAAATAAATGTTGATGGACACTTTAAATACCCATGTCCCTAGGTGGGATAAATAAACCTTCAAGAAATCCCAAAAATGGCATACGTGTCTCCCAGTTGCAGGCCCCAGGTCCAAATGATTTGCGTCTCACACTGGGTCGATTCAATTGATTTCCTCTGTATCCAACTCGTGAAACACAAGAAACGTTGATCGAATCTCTGAGGTCGCCCTACGCTACTTGGTTCGGAAATGCGTGGGAACGACCCGTAGGGATCTCTGGAAGTTCAAGGGATGGTTGAGTTCGGGGGTCGTTCCCTCCCCTGAGAGCCAGCAAGAAAAATCTAAAAAAATCTACCCCGAGCCATGTACATCAAAAGGAAGAAGATCTGCACCAACTTGTACACTCGGCGGCGAAAGTCGGTGCACGACAGCTTACACAAGCAAACCTGCATGAGACGCAAGCGCATTCACGAAGTCGGAAGTCAGTGCAAAACTTGCCAAATCCCGCTGTGACGCAGTATGTCAAGATGTCCGTTTTTTAAGCACTAATTTGGACGTGCAAGGTGTAAATCCCAGTGCGACGCAGTATGTCAAGATGTCCGTTTTTAGGCACTAATTTGGACGTACGATGTGTAAATCCCACTGTGACGCAGTATGTGAAGATGCCCGTGTTTAAGCACTAATTTGGACGTACGATGTCCCAATGGGACGCAATAGGATGTGCAGCTGGGAAAAGTATCCAGTGGGAGCACCGGAAGCAACAAATCCAAATGGGACGCCGCATGGCATGTATAATTTCCATGGCATCTAAGCCTATAACTTCTATCAAGTCAAATCCTACTGGCACACAGCCGAACAACACAAGGATCCCAACTCCCATGTGTTAGTTGACTCAACCTTCTCAATATCTTGGCCAGAGGCCAGAGGCAGTGTGCAATTTCTCGCCCAGACCCCTCCTGCAGTTCTTTCACCTTGTGAAGTTGCTACCACCACCATCATCACCACCACCACCACCACCACCACAACCGCACCATCACGGGGCTGCACAGTAAAGCCGGCACAATCTTGTTCCAAACACTCCTTCTCAAGTGCATCTTCGAGCTCAACGCGCAGCCTCTTCTTGATTGGCGTCGCCGTTGCAGGTGGCTGAGCTCGCGCGCCCCTTGAACCCCAATCTCACGGGCGCAGCGATGAGTTACGCGTGTGTCCCACGAGGGCAGCCACAAACAAAACCCGTTCCGGAACACGAATCCCCATGGGCATATGGTTTTAAAGCGACCCTAGCGGAGGGTGTAAATCAAAGTCACATCTCCCATGGCACAGCACAGAAAGAGGAAGTCATATCAGTGTGCTCGCCCGAACTTACCTAAGCACCGCCTATCCAAAGACCGTGGGCTCATTGAAGCAACGTGCTCAAAACACACAGCAGGCGCAAAACGCAACGACTTCTACAGATGGGTGTAATGCCACGCTCAAAACCAGCACTCTCCAAAAACACTGCCTCCAGTCGCCTCCAGTCCGCGTGCAAGTTCGCTCAAATCCCAATGGTATGGCAACAGGAAGTCTGCTCAAACAAAATCCTGCCGCATGGAATTCGAGTTCAACGGTAACCATACATATGTAAACCCCGCACCAGGACGCAAGCCGCACCGACTTCCTCAATCAGTACCCTGCATGGCACACGAAGTTGGACGCAGACGCACCGACTTTCACCGGAGAGAGTATGGCAAGCGTGCGTGCCAGCGGAAAACAACAACAACGAAAACACTGGTTCTTTGTCCCCTAAGAGTGAAAGTAGCGGACGAAACCCGTGCCCTTGCTTCTGGACTGTTCCCCACGCCCAAACAAACCCCTCGCCCTTCTGAGAGCTGAGACGCTTCTCTGGGGCGTGCCTCCCCGTTCCCCCGCGAGCCTCTGAAGCCGAGCGTTTCGGCCGGACACGGCCACGGCATTTGGGGGCGCCGGTTTTTCGTGTGTTTTTTTTGGGGGGGGGTGGTCTTGGAGGGAAGCCAACACCCAAAAACCACGAACTTTGGGGGTGCCCTAAAAGACTTATTAGAGGTCTTTTTTTCGGACGAGGTGCGTTGGGCACATGGCCGGAGTCGGCATTTGCATGTACTGCTGCTCCTGCGGCGCAAATGCTTTCTTTGTTTGACCGTTTCGGACTTTTCAACGTACAAAATGGGGAAACCGACCAGTGGGGTCTGTCTGTTGCGAGGGTTCCCATTTTGGGGTGGTTTTCAAGGAAAACCAAAAGGAACACCACCATTTTGAGGGCTTCCCTAAAAACAAACACTAATTTGGGGCTGCAGGGAAAGAGCACGAACCTCACCGGGGTGGTTTCTAACATTCTCCATGTGTCCAAGCATGCTCTTTTTCCCCAATGGTCGCGTGGCTAGGGATGCTGCTCACCCAGGCAGCAGAGCCCTCCATGCCCCAGGAACCCTGGCAGCGCGTGGGCTGCAGCCAAGCAACTCTCAAGTTTCAGGGGTGGGTGGGCGGCAAAAAAAAGAAAACAGTTAACAATTTGGGCCTTTGCCCACAACCACAAATTGTTAACTGTTCACACACTTGGGCCACAAGAGAATGCTTAGGCCACGCATGGGAACCATGCGAGGGTGCCCCAACATTCTCCATGTGTCCAAGCATGCTCTTTTTCCCCAATGGTCGCGTGGCTAGGGATGCTGCCCGCCCAGGCAGCAGAGCCCTCCATGCCCAACCGCAGGCGCCAGGAGACCATTGGGAAGAGCACTAATGCCCATGCCCAGCCGAAGGGTGCTCGCGCCATGGGCGACCCAACAGCTCCACCAAATTCACAGACAGCCTCCTTGCAGGGCTGAAGCCTACCAAGCATCCTCTGCTGAGTGTCTGCCCAAACGTTCCGTGCCCCCGCAACATGAGAAGTGGACAGGGCGACGCCGAGCCGGCAGCAGTGAAAGCCGAGGGCTTGAAGAACAAAGCAGAGAGGCTCTTTCTGCGAGAGCTCACGCCCTGGTTGTCGCAAAACTGCCTCATGTGGCACGCAGCACGAGTAAAACAAGCTGAGCGAGCGCCTCCAGGGCCGCAATGGCTTGCAGGGAGCAAGACTGGGGCGCTTTGAACCAGGAATCATGAGGGTTGGGGGGGAGGGAGGGGAGGGGGGAGGGAGCCCCAAAAGACCCTAAATAAGGCCTTATTAAGTCCCTCCCCCCTCCCCTTCCCCCCCAGCCCCCATGAAGGAAGGCAGATCACGCCGCAAAACCACGCTGAACCATGCGTGCTCTGGAGCAGCTGGTGCCCCTGGCGGCAGCCAAAAGCCGATGCAACCGCAACGCCCTCCTCTGCAAATGCGTCTGCACATCCAGGCAGACCGGGGGCACCATGCACCAAGCAGACCTTGGATTCAATTTGGGCCTTCGCCCACAACCACAAATTGTTAACTGTTCACACACTTGGGCCACAAGACAATGTTTAGGCCACGCATGGGAACCATGCGAGGGTGCCCCTTTCCGGCGACTCGCCGGAAGTGAACCCGGGAAACTGCCAAGAAGATCTCCGGGCTAGCGTCTTGCCTGGTCAAGTTGTTCCATGGAGTTGTTGTTGTTTCCCCGTTTGGCGTCGACTTACCAGCCAGGTTAGCTGTAGCGGGCACATGGGAAACCCCTCCTTAACCACCAAACCAACAATCCAAACCACCAACAAGGAGGAAGCTGAATGACACCAACAGGGGTTCAGATCCCCAAACCACCAATCCAAACCACCTTCGGGGTAACCTGAGTCGTGGTGGTTGTCCGTTTCAATCAACAAAAAGAGAAGAAAAGAAAAATAGATACACCCATTTGGAAAACCCTGCTTGTGTTTTTTTTGGGGGGGGAAGGAGGCTGGAGGGGCTCCTGCAGCTGCTGCATGGCGAGAAAGGCTGCGGCCTGGTTGTAGACAAAGTTCTCCTGCCAAGTTACTGCTTGAAGCACTGGGCGTGCACACCTGGAGCTTGAGCCCCCCCCTTTTCCAGTGGCTTTACAGGGATGGTAGAAGGAGACCCGGTTTTCGGGCGGGATCAAAATCCCGATTTTGATGCATGCTCGTTTGGGCATGAATCTTAACTTGGGACCCGTTCGGGCGCATCATGTAGCTGGGGATTCATGTCCACCACGTTTGAGGTGGTCCTGCATTAAAACTAATGTTCTTCTGCTTTGACTGACCTCGGAAAAACCACCCCATTCTGGGAATCGGATTCCCTCCATAAGACGAAGCCATTTGCCGGTTGGTTTGTGGTCAAATGGCAACACGCCGTTCCGGCTCATAGTTGGGAGACCTTGCGGGAAGGTGGGAAGCTGTGGGGGTGCCGGGGGGGATAAAGGGCCCCCTTGTTTGCGGAAGCCCCGGTTTGCCCTGACAAAGGAGGGTGAAAGTCAGATAGTTTGAGTGCCTTCTTTTTTCGGGCCCCCAGATTACAGCTATTTTCCGTGTCTTTCAGATTCCCAGCTTCGCACTAGTAGGTGAGTTGGATTGGTTTGGAGGTCAGGGCTGGTTTCCCGTTACCCTTTACAAGAACCAGTGGTTTTTATCCAAATCGAAATCACCAATCCAAACCACCACACCTATATCATCCTATATTATATGGGTTGCCGAACATTCAGCCCACCTTAACATGTAAAAAGGAGACCCCAGCTGCACCTCACGGTCAACCCACAGTTCACCCGAATGAGCGCGGTCAAGGACGCCACCCGTGTTTCACACCATATGTCGCGATCTCAACCATTTCAACTATATTCCAAGGCCACAAACCCTTTCTCGCTCGCTGCACGTGTCTCAGAACTCCTCCTTGTGAAGAAGGCGGTCCAGCAGCAGACCTGTCCCCGCAGGCAGGCGCTTTGCCCCAAAACACCAGGTCACCTGGTACATGTAGAAACACTTTGAAGCAGCTGTAAAGGTGGGTTTAAAGCTTGGCCAAAATGTATCCTTTAAGGGATCCTGGCTGAAAACGCTGATTCCTTGAACTCTTGGGAACTCCCCCCAGACCCAAACACGGTGTGGGCTTTTGGGCTCACAAGCCAGGAAATAATGATGGACGGGACGGCCTTCTGAAGCCTCTGACCGTGAACTGTGGAACCTGTTTTGACGGCTGGTAACACTACTGTTTTTTGAACACCTTGGACAAACGGAATTCACTGGGTAGAGTTCATGTTTAAGATACATCAAGGAGTTGCCAGGGGCCGACTGGTATTAGTTTGGCTCACCAAATCATTATACTTTGGCATTAGCCAACTAGACCTGCCATAGATCATGGTGGTCGCTCTGGGAACTCACAAGCTTGTCACACAGCCGAATCCGTTTTTAGGAAGAAGTTTGCGTAATTACCTTGCCTCATCTGGCTTCAAAGGAGCTAAAGCTTGAATCCAAATCCACACCACCCATCCAACTAAGGGTTCCACAGCAATGGTCGGGTGGGTCGACAACAAAGACGCACCCAGGCTGGTCACCCAGGTACTGGAGACCTTTGTCTAGTATGTACGTTGGGAGTCGAATCATTCCAGGGTTTCTTAGGTGGTGCGAAATGGATTTTGTTCATCCACGGTAGGTCCATGCCCCAACTCGCACAGCCCAAAAGATGTGTCGGACGAGCGTGCGTGGTGGGAGTGACTCTGGTGTCCTTCCCATGGTTTCTCTTGGATGAAACTTCTGAATTTCGCCTCTTCCGCAGCCTGAAAAAGAAGTGGCTCCTTCGGGACCCAATCCGCACCTCGCAGGTTCAGCAGCTGCCTCACCTCCTGGTGAGGGACGGCTTCTCGTGGTTCCGAAACGAATCCAAGTCCATCATTCCCCATGTTGCAATGGGAAAGGGACTCAATTCAGCTGGGCTGCTCAAAATGGCATGTTGGCCAATCCGATTTTCCATAATCCCTAATGGAAAGCCACTACAAAGGACACCGGTTCGCTGCGTAACTGAAGGTAAGGATTCAGGATTGCTTTTGATTAGCCCAGGCTGGCACCTACGCTGTCCGTTGTCGGATCCCCTGCTACAAGTTTATAACTTCTGTGGACACCTCTCACTAAACAAACTAAAAAGAACAAACAAAGTGAGGTCATGGCTGCGAACCGTGAAGGTCCTAAATGGCTGTTGCCACGGTCAACGTTCAACGCTCTTAGGATGTGAATCCTTTCTTTGGCCGATTTTTAGTGAATAACACAGAGAAATCCGCCCACTCACGTGGAAGTGAAAGCACCATCTTTCGTCAATCCACAAACCAGTAGAGAGGTTAGAATAAGGGTACCCTTTTTTCTGTAGTCTATTTTAGTAGAAGAACCCTCCCCCAAAGAAGGGGCAAACGGGCACTACTGGGGACCCAGCCCACTATTTGCACATGTTCCAGTTTCACCAAAGTCTGCGTCACGTCCCATTCGGCCTGGCTCTCGGGCCCTCCACCCATTGCGCCGGCGGTGCCAGAAGCCGCATCAAAGGGCGGCGTCAGGCCTCGAAGGGTGCGCCGTTCGATGAGAGCCTTTTGGTGTTGGCTAGGGAAGCCAAAGGGAAACCAAAGCGCCTTTGTTAGGGGGTCTATTTGAAGACATGCTCAAGTGACATGAAATGAATGTATTAATTGTGACCCGTTCGACGTCTGATTTAAAAAAACAAAAAACGATCTGTTTGGGGGGATGGGGTAGAACACCCCTCCGATCCCAAGCCACGACTGTTCGGAAGCTGAACTTGGAAAACTCCAGCGGGCCCGCTGTTTCAAAAGGAAACCCTTTTTGGGTTGACCATTTTCAGTCGGGAAGCCGCCAAACACCAAAAAGAACAAGGGTGCCACTGAACAACTGAGCAGTGTTCTTGTTGGGAAGGTAATGCCAGTGACGTATCACACACCTACGCCCGCCTACAAGGTTGGAGTTTTGCACTCAACGTGCCTACCAGTCGCGTGTTCTGTGCCACGTCCGCATTCATGAGTGTACAGAAAGCAAGCGCGTCACATGAAGCCCTCGATTTCTGCCTTAAAGTTTCACTCTGAGCTATCAAGATGTTCTTCTGCTGATGAGAGCCCAACCTTGACCAAGTCTTCAGCACTGGCCGCATAAGCAAGAACAGGGGTGTCCACAAAACTGGGCTCCAGCCTACGCCTGTGCCTAAAAGCGGCCGAGATCCCCAGTGTGCAAAAAACAAACTCAGGAACACCCTCACTTTAAAGGGCCCAGAAAGAGACATGAAGTTTCGCACTGGAAACTCTGACGAGCTCATCAATCAGGAATACCCTTAGTCGACTACGTCTTCTCAAGTCAGGCCTGCGCCGGTAGCTTCCACCGTCAAAAGAGGGCTGCGTTTTTCCAAGTGAGGCGCGGAAAAAGCGGCCGCGCGTTGGCAGACGTTTGAGATGCGAGGCCTATGTCCACTCCCCTTTTGCCTGCTCAACTCGGGTCTGAAGCCAATTCGACTTTGGTGTGGGTCAAAAGTAGGGTAACACCAAAATGGCTTGCCCTGGTAGATGGAAAGGACTAGAACCTGCGGTCCATATCCTGGTGGTCCAATTTTGACCCATACCCACTTGGCTCAACCTAACGGAAGCCACGAAAAGGCGACCGGTGGGATTTTCCTGGAAAAGGCGTCACCTGTTTTTCCCTTTAAAAGGCGCAGTTCACTGGGGTCCGACAAGAACATGCCACTGTTGCAGGTCCGAACAAGGGAAATTCGGGGATCCCTGATACATGTGATGATTGTTCTAGACTCTTTTTTTGACATCTTGCTAGTATGCGGTTACTCCCTAAACGCAAAACAAAAGAAGGAAGCGGACAAATACGCCCTGATCCCGAGAAACTCCGATCAATTCTTTGGGGCTGGGAACTGGTCTTCTTGCCACCAGCACTGGGCAATGTCTTATAAGTCACAAAGCCGGAATGAGGATTTCCCAAGTAATTACCTTTCATCATGGGCAGTCCCTTCCTCTTACAAGAGGGTCACAGGTTCTCGGGCTGAGACCAGATCCGCTTGCGCTAGCCGATTTTCCAGCTATTATATATATATATATACATACATAGTGCACATCTAATACACACATGTACAAATATGAATTATATATTTATAACCCTTAGTATGCTAGCAAAACTGTGTGCTTTGCACGAGTATATGCATACATACTATATATGTATATATGCATATATATATATATCTATATGTATGTATATGTATATATATACATATATGCATTCGTGTTTTTATGTATACATATATGTATATATATGCATCCAATACATATATACATATATATATACACATTTGATTAAGAGGTACTCCAATACTATGTCCTGAACCTCTGGGTTTCTTCCAGCCCAGCCGCCCGGCGGCGGTGGGGGAGCATCCTGCCATCACATTCGGCCGAGCCAAGCGCTTCACATGAATTCTGGCAGAGGGCTCTCTGAAAACGAGTGTCGCTTTTTATCCCTTGGCGTGGGAAAACAAGTGAAGTTCTATCCCTTCCATCTTTTTTTCTCTGGCAAGCTTCGTCCCTACTATCCTTTTTATCCCTTGGGATGGTCGCAAAACTTTGCTCCGTGCTCTACCGATTTTGACACATCCCAGAACATTCGTTTTGGTTTTGAATCCAAAGAACTGTGAAGGGTACCTTTAGGTACTGAGGGGCCCCTGAATGGCCCCTTGAACGCTGAAATAGGTTGTACTTGGTTGATCCTTAGTATTCAGAACATTCTCAAAACCTCAAGGTCGGCTTTGCCGAACATCCCGTCTTCTAAACAATACGGATACGATTCCGATCTGAACAATCCGTTTTAGCAGCTTCAGGTTCAACTAGAATGTGAAGCTTGGAATCTGAAGATGTCATCCATTTCTCAGCCGGGAACTCATTCGTCCTGGGTCGGCATTCATTCCATGCTATTCTTCGTCGGCAGACAAGTTGTGGCTTGGTCAGAATGCGGCCACGAGGTGGTTTGTGGCCTACTGGGAAGAATACAAACAATGCCGGTTCTTGGATCCCATTTTCGGACACCGATGTGAGTCCGTGTCAAATTTTGTCCTCTTTTCGAGGATAAGCCAAGCGCGTAACGCGCCCAACCCATTTTTCCAAGAACCCAGCCACCTAGCGAGGTAGGATTCAATATACCAGCGAGGCCATACAACGGGTGCGTAAAGGGTACATCCAAAAGTGTTCTATCTTCACGAGCAGCTACTGTTTAACAGTTTACATGGTGAAGCATGTCTTAACATATCATGGTTCAGTTGGCATGTTTAAAGCACAAATTGTTTAAACATCGGGCAAAACCCTTCTGTTTCATATGGGTGTGTCTTAGAATAGGGGACCCCCAAAATGGCGTCGGTTTTCCTGCTGGTTTCCTTTTAGAACCCGCCAAAAAAGAGTACCCTCGAAAAAGGACACCCCCAAATAAATTTATTTTGGCTTCCAGAGCGCCATGGGCTCATTGGTCAACCATGTTCAAACAAACCCAGGTACCCAAGCGTCGGCCCTTGGAATTCTATATGAGAAACCTCTTGCTGTGAGCAGATGACTGAAGGAAAGCCTTGCCCAGATCAACTTGACGTAACCTAGCGGGAAATCAGCTACAGAAGCTGAACTACATTATAATACCCATGGGTGTGTTTTCTTGTTGAGGGAACCCTTGTTGGGTGGTTTTAACGGGAAACCAAAAGGAAAACCAAACCCAAAATGGACAGCCTTAAAAAGACAGCCACCCAAAAATCGAGATTCTGGTTAGCAACGTACAGTACCTCCCCTGAGGCACCCTCGAACAGAAAACACACACTACTTGGCGGTTTAAACAATCACCCCAAAAGACCAATCCAAACCACCTTTTGGGGTGATGTTTCAATCCGCTAATTAGAGGCAAGCCTAAACTCGGGCCACCTCTGAAGTGCTCGCCTGTTGGTTTCCCTTTCTATAAATCCCACCGCCGCGTCGCCGGGATCCGCTGAACTCGTCAAACCCCTCGGTCGAGTCGGCCTGTGAGGACTGGGCCATCCGCTCCTGCGAGAAATCGATCCACTCGCCTTTGTCTCGTTTCGGGTTGGCGCCCGGGGACTTCCCGCAAGTTTGCGGGGGGAAAGGGAAAATGGCGGAAAAATATGAGAAAATATCTACTAGTCTAAAATCTAAAAAAATCTGCCCAGCTATCCCCAACAGCCCGAAAAGAACCGAGTCTGCTCTTGAACCCTCACTGCAACGCTGCAACGCTGCTCCCAAACCACCCCAGAGCTTAGCTCGGCCGATCGACCAAATCCATTTCCAGCTGCTGGGGAAAAAACATGAAAAGGTGAGCTAAGTCAGAAGACCTTTGGCACAACGTTTGTGACTTTTTGGCGGGATACGACATAAAATTTCGAATCCCATGAACAAAGGATGAAATTCGCGAAGAGTTGCCCAAAGGCTCTGTAGAAGGAGGACGGCAAGCCTGACGCCTGTTCAGACTCAAAACCAATCGGGAGGGAACCCGTCCATGCCATGCATCTTAATGGACCCGACATGGTGGACATCAAAATTCCGTGAGGATGTATGTCCACCAACCACTTGCCAGGAAAACTTGACAAACTCAAAGCTCTCAGCCCGAATCATTTTGTGAAGCTGAAAATGAATTCGCAACATGGGGTTGTCTCAAAATCTGTGACCGCCAAAATGGTTAATGCTTCCTTTGGGTTTCCTTTAAAACCAACCAATTCAAAAGGTCCCCTCGAAAAACACAAACCCAAATCAGACCTCAAAAGAGATTCCTCCGAACTAGGCCCTCTGAGGTGAATGCAGCGAAACAAAAACACAAAGTTCGGCAAACTTGTCTGGGGATGCCCCGAGGTGCCTGGGGCCAAAAGGGGTGACACCACCTATGGAAATGGGCCTCGATGCATTCGATGCTTTCTCAAAGCCCTGCAAGTTCTTGCTCGCTGATCGTACCGCGCCAGACCACCGGCGTGAGCTGACCACTGGTCCAACAGTCAGCTTCCCGCCAATTGGTGGTTCCCGTTGACTCAGAATCAGGGTTTCAAAACACCTGAAGCAAATACAGAATTCCTAGTCCTCAAATCCAATAAGCCCTTAAACCACCAGTTCTCTGGCTTACCTGCTGTTAACGCCGGATTAATAATCCCTTAATTAATGCATTGGGAAGGCAAATCCATTTGGTTGTCTTTTTTGAGGGCACCCTTTTGGGTAGTTGTTCAATCGGAATCCAAAACGAAACCAACCATTATCAACCATTGCTGGGGGGGTCCCCCCCAAAAAAAACAGATCACATACCCATTTGGGGATGTATCATGTCTTTTTCCAAAAAAAGAACAACTGGCCCGCGTGGCCCACGGCCATGTCCCGGTCGAGTCCGACTTCGGCTGCGCGCCAAGCCCGTCCTGCAGCGCCTCGAGGCTTTGGCGGATCGCATCCTCCAGGCCTTTCGGAGCTCCGAGGGCTTCGGAGTTGCTCCGGTTCAGAGCTGGGTTCCCCCTCCCCCCGAAAAAAGAAGTACAAATATATGTATATAGCGATGTATATATTATATATATATACATACATACATATATATATATATACACATTATAATATATATGTATCTCTTTGTGGATTCCTATCGGTGTCCCTTTAAACACACCCAAAAGAGGTACCAAAAAAAAGAACAGCCACCCAGTTGCCCTGTTTCTCAAAACTATGGATCCGGTTTTAGCATGGTTTTGGACACGCACCGACAAGAACCAACTTGGAGGTGTGCGAAAACTTGTGAGAAACGCCCATCCAACCTTGATGCCCAACCCACTTGATTGT